ATATATATATATATATATATATATATATATATATATATATATATATATATATATATATATATACATATATAATATATATATATATATATATATATATATATATATATATACAATACAACTATATGCATTTATTCTCGCATGTATGTGAATACATCGCCGTGATTTATGGCGATATCAATTGGGCATCATCGCTAATTGCGTCATGTGTATATATTTTTTTGACCGCCCAATTGTAAAAATATTTTTACTATAAAATTAAATATTTTGGAATTTATTGTATGTATTTATTTACTATGTAAGGCTATGGCTGTAGGCGACTCGGCGACCAACGTCCACGGGCCACGGCCCACGGCCACGGGTCAAAGCCATCGACTCTTTGCTATTTATAGATTCCGGACCCCAGCGGACTCGCAGGGTGCGTGCTGGGTGCCTGGCAGCAGCCTGGGGGTCACACTGTCACAGTGATCACACAAGTTCAGTAGTTCATAACTCACACCGTCACTGAGATTCTGGGAATGAAGTATGTAAATACCGTACGCTCAAAACGTTAGATAGGTAAACCGTATTTGTAGATACGTGACTTTGTCATCAACTTAGGAGGCAATGGCAACTTTTATATAGGCCAGCAGATATCGCACACCATATAAACGTTAAAGGCTTGCAGACCATATGTTCAAATTCCATTTTTTTAAAATAAATATATAATTAACATTATGCGTCCCATTACAGTACATACATACAATACATACGTTACATAATGATTTACGGTATTTATAAACGTTCCAACGCCTCAAAATTTATACGATTTGAAAATAAATAAATAAACAGTATGAAACCTGGTTGTCGCTTTTACTTTTTTGGAAGGAAAGATCTCTGATAAAATCTGAATGGGAAGAAGCCAAAAGAATTTTCATATTTGATTTGATTTGATTTTTAAAAAAACAAAAAAACAACAACAAAATATAGAAGCCAGAAGATAGGCAAAATTTTTTTTATGTACAAACAAAAAACACACCTTTTCACATCGTTTTATATATGTCTTTATTTGTACAATCGCTCAGGTTATCAGGCCTGTCATATTTACACCCATAGCATAGCATAGCATCGGTGTATTTATTACATAGCCTTTACGTGATGCTGGTTTAGCACGCCACGATACTGAGAGACTTTTCGTATATATTGCAATATTGTAACTGAATGTCGTACCGGTTCAGGTTTATCGGCTGGTTTTCTTATGGGTGCCTAGGCAACCGCTTGAACGTCACCACAGCAACAGCAAGTAACCGGTCCAATATAAAAACATCTCTGCATTGTAGAATACATAATCTTCTTACACAACACAGAGCAAACAATCTGCACAAGACAGTTTATATTTAATCTCGTTTATACCCGAATGTCGAGACCAACCTCGCCAACAGACTCAACGGCCATTCCCGATGTTGTAGTCGAATCACCACACGGGTCTTCACGGTCGAAGTCAGTCAAGGCTCGTAGTTGGCTACAACGCAAGATAGGGAGGGGTCACAATGAGGGCCTTTCAGCAAGTCAGGCTGGTGGGTCCAGTAAGAGCAGTGCTACCAGTTTGGCGGCGGAAGAGGACGACGAGTTGCCGGTGTTACGGACAGCGGCGGAGATGAAAGCGGACACAAACACAAACACAAAGGGTGACACGAAAGTGGTAGAGGATAGTAACACAGCTAATATGGATACGGATACGGGGAAGGATGCAGTGCAGAAAGTACTGGCCAGCAGGAGCATAAGCGTATCGGAGAGGAGCTTGTCGGATGGGATGGGAAACTCTAAGAAGCCCCTCACACCACGCAGTAAGTCGACACTGAACAAGCCGTCGGTGTCGCAGAATATCTCTGCATCGTCGATGCTAGAGGATACACACGAAGAGATGGATGATATATCTATAGGCAAAGATGGTAAGAGCGGGCAGGGATTTAGATCTGGCGTGATGGACCGTATTCGCAGGCGCAAGAAGGAGGTCTCGCCTATGTCAGTTGACACGCTGGGTAATTCCACGTTCAATAACTCGCTCACACCGCGTCCGTACAAGAACCACGCGCTGCAGCAGAATGTGGGCTTTGGTAAGATGTCCAACAGCCTGAATGGACCCCGAGACGCGAGTGGTGGGAATAGTTACTTGAGGACAGGGGGTGGAACGGTCCTGTCTATTAATAGCATGACCATACAAGGCAAGTCACCGAGCCTGCACAGTCGCACATGGTCGGCCGAGAGCAACAGTACGGGTGCGAGTGCGGCGTTTACCAACACCAATGCCAAGCGCAGCACAAGTATGCTGGCGCACATGAAGGAGAGTGAAAGACTGGATGTGGGGATGAACGGGGCTAATGCGGTGGAAGAGGTGTCATTTGAAGGGTCAAGGAACGAAGGAGACCAGAGTAGCCAGCAGGTTACAGGACGAGATGCGGGTGGTGATGGGGTGCGTACAGAGAATACAGGGCTACAAGAGAGCAGACAATTTATTGACTGGGGCTATAGGGCGGCTATAGCGGCTTTTTTTATCACACTGTTCCTGGCCGTGCTGAAGGAAGTGGGCTATGATATAGTTCCAAAGGTACTTGAAGGTTGGTGATGTCAGTGGATTCGATCTCGCTGACAGCTCACACTCGTATACAGGCTACTTTTCTGGTATAAACGTGCAAACGGATAAATGTGATCCGAACATGTGTGAGTATTTATATATTGATATGGACAAACCACACAACCCTTGTGGAAGATTCGCACATTCGTGCTCGATGGCTTTTACCTTATCACTGTGGGAAGTATTGTGGCTTTGTTTGTAGCCCAGTCTAATTTAATTTTATATATATATAAATATATATACATACATACATATACCCACCCACCCACCCACACACTGTATGTATGTATGTATGTATGTATGCATGAATGCATGTATGTATGTATGGATGTATGTTTGGATGCACGTATGTATGTATGTATGTATGTATGATGTACGATGTATACATAC